GTATAGGAAAGAAAGAATTTTTCCTGACTTGAATTCACAGCTGTTTTGCGGTAAATTCCGCAGCTGTGACCAGAAACTGGATGACCTTGTTAGTAGGACAGCCACAAAGTAGCCACAAAGTTTGGTTTTGATTATAACGTCTGTTTTTCTTCTTCTTGAAGTCTGTTCCTTAAAATTTGATGTGCTCATGTAATTGCAATGTAGTTCACTGCCCTGCTTTACCTCCGGTGAAGGGAGTTTGAGACTTCACAGAGGAGGAAAAGAGAAAGAGAGCGAGAGAGACAGACTGACAGACAGACGCAGAAGCCCACAGTATGGAAAAATAAATGATATCACTGATGGGCTTTTCTGTCAGTGTATATGAGTTATTGAATGCTTAAGCAGAAGTATTACACATTTTTTCTAACCCTTATCCCCCATAAAACTCAACAACTAAAAAGATAACCTGCATGTAGTTTATTAGTGGTCTTATGTGCATTCATCTTTTTCTTTTTTTTTATTTCTATTTTGTTTTTTAAAAAGAAGTCTGTAACAGAAATACAAATCAGATTCCCTCCAGTGGTGCAGATTTTCATTTCTCAGTAGGTAGATGGAAGAAAAAGATTCATAATTCACTTACACTTCTATGAATCCAAGATTTTTTGGAAGTGACTGGTGTTTTGGAAAATGTGAATGATTGGGGCAGGCATCTTGCATTCTTCTGGCATCTGGATTTTGGAAGTGATGAGCACCCCTTGTCTGAAATGCAGCCCCTTTAAGGTATCTTAAAATAAACATGACGCAAATGGAGGCCTCTGAAACCACTCATTGCTTTCCTGGTTGTTGGTTTTAGTAGTTCTGGACTCTTAAAATGATTACTTTCAGGTATCGTTTACTGCCTCTGGGCATGAAATTTAGACAGTTACTGAGTGACACCAGTGCCATCTTGGTGCACGTTTCTAAGCAGACATGGTTGGATTGGTTGGGCAAGGCCAGGTGTTGCCACTGCCCACCCTTCCTGCCGTGCTGAGGCTGGCCTCCTGGCTAGAAAGCAACGTGAGCTTGGTGGGGCCAGCAAGAGGGCGTACGGCTGCCTGTCAAGGCAGAGGGATGCCGTGGGATCTGAGGGGGCTCTGGGCTATGGGGATTCTTCACACATCCTGTATTCAAAAGTTATTTAACAAAGTGCCTTAAAAACTTTGTGAAGGAGGGCAGGAATCCAGGTCTCCCCTTCCCAACAGAGTGCTCTGTGCCAGCAACATTGCGAGCTTTGATTTCTTTTTCTTCTTTTTGGCCCACAACATCAACTTTATTGTGGAGCAGCCTGAATGGTTTCTGAGAGGCAGAGAAAGACCTGCCACCTTCTGTTCCCTTCAGATCCTTCTGATCTTTTCAGATCAGAAAAATCATCCAGGCTACCCTGTGACAGCATCTTGCATGCAAGTGACGTTAAACCCAGCCAGGTCATCTTGCCTTATGAAGAGCTCTCCAGGAACAGCTGGAGAGAATTATTTGAAGGCAGCTATCTTAGCTATTTAAGAAATCACCCTGGTGGCTGAACCGTTGTTGCCATTTCTGAGTACTCCCCTTAGGTGTGCTGGCTATTCCTTTGCTCCCTCACGATCTTTTCATTTCAGTCTGAGATGTTTGAAGTTTGGAGGTAGAGGGAATGAAGTGCAGGTTGCCAGGCTCCATAGGAAAATCCGAGTATCTCAGACTCAACCCTTGCTGCTGAGCGCAGGGCAAAAGAAAGATACTAAAGAAATACTTATTCCTCCTTTCTGTAGCACATCTGTCCAGCTGTGTCTTAATGCATCTGCTGCTGGTGTCATTGTTTTCCAATAAGGTCCACTAGCTAAGATGATGTCTGTCTCCTCTACTGTACCCTACAAATTTGCCTGCTAGCAAGTTGGACAATGCCTGGCTTAGCATCCTCCTTCTGGAGGCTCATATGGCATTAAAGGAGATGTAGATAAAGAGGACATCTCTATGACGTAAAATCTGTCCTTTTGATGAAAGCCATTTTTATTTATATAGGGATGGGAATAGCAAATATACTTATTTAACCTTTAAGCACTTGGTGTAAGGCATGTCACTGCAGGCCAGTGAAACTAGCTTCTGTATTTGTTAAAGCAAAGCTGCTTTTGTCCTTTAGGTAGAAGGGTATTTTGCCATTGGGGAGGCATCATCACTTCTTGTGTTGCTCTGCCTGGAGTAGAGAATGCGAAGGAGCGATGCTTGATCAAATATACCCTATTGACACAGCAGTCTTTTCCCATCTTTGGAGGGACTGAGTGGAGAATATTGCCATACTCCAGTAAATAGAAGTGAGATGCATTAAGTGCAAGTTGTACGTATACATCTTCGGGCTCATGCAGTCTGTTTCCTACTTGGGGCCAAAGTTTCTTCTTCAGTATCCAAATTCCCGGGTCTCTAGTCAACGGCACCTTAACAGCCTCATACTGAGATAAAAATATATTTAGATTGCAGCAGTTCTTTCTTGCCCCTCCTGAACTGTTTGGGAGGGATCTCCTGTGCCCGTGCTTTGGGTAGGTTAAAAAATTAATGTTAGATGCAGGTGCTGAAGTAACTGTAGTCACAGAGCAGTGCAGGGCAGGATCTACATCTCTGAGCTGAGATCTTCAGTCAGTCATGTCTTGTGGCTGAATCGTGAGTTTGTCTTTTTACCATGTAGGATCTGAAGAATATTACCAAAGTTTTGAACCTGGACTTACAAAGCTGGGTATTGTTGTGCATGCTTAAACACCTAGAAAGGAAAAAAACCCAACCTGTATTTCCAAGGGTGCTATGTGCTTGGAGCTCCCAATGAAATCCGTCCACTTCTGTGTTTTCTTTTAAACTGATTCAGCTGAAGGGTGAAGATGTCCTAGGCATTACCACTTGAAGAGAAATAAAATACTTCATTCAGATTGGTTCTATGTTGTGTTTGTTGATCTTGGTGAATTTGATAGCATCTTCAGGATGGTGTTGTCTAGTGTTGGAAGTATATGAGATGAACTCGGAGTGTATGTATGGAAGCAAAAAATGCTGGGTTATAGTAAGGAGGCATTGTTTCAGCCTCATGTATGACATTGTAATTGTATGGTTTTTAATGAACAGACCAGAGTAGTTACACTTAGTAATGTTTGTTCACTAAAAAGGAAAAGGAGTGTTAAATCATTGTGTTCTTTGATGAATGGCTTGTACACTGAAGAATAAATTGAACAAACTGGCATAGAGCTCAGTGAACATGAAATCAGCTATTAGAAGAAAGCTTGTGAACAAATTCTGAGCCTGATATGCATCTTTTGATTAATGTCCTATCAATCATCCATAGTGGCTACCTTAGCTAAGTCGTGCTGTAATCATTCATGGTTGCTTACAGGAACACTAGCAGGGACTATAGAGCTGCAATAACTGAATATTATTACTGATTTCTCCCTAACTCTTGCTGTGAACAATTACTGTTTTCACTATGTTTCTGCTTCCCTTTATTAAAAAGAATACAATGCAAAATGAAAAGAGAGTTCCTCAAAGACCAGTAAAATTCTCCCAGGGTATTCTTAATGATATTCTGTCCTAAATGGGCAAACTATTGTAATGCAGAGTTCTCACCAGGAATAATAGTAATGTAATCACATTGAAGCTGTCTCTTTATGGATTGTAGTCAAACAGACAAAATGTATAGTCAGATTAACGAACACAGAATTTCTGTAGAATTATTACTTAAAATGGTTGAAATTATTTTAGCTCTTTTTTGTATCACAGTATTTTCAGTTAATGCACTTAACAGCAACAGCAATTAAGACTCAGACTGTAAATCTGGATTAAATCTACCCTTTTGACATTAGAAGAAGCCTTGATTCTTAAAAGGTATTATGCTTGCACCCCTCTCTTTTAAGACCTAATGTTTTAAATTTGTACGGCTCTTTTGAACTGTGATTATTTGGTGGCTTTTTTAAGAAAAAAAAATAAATCAATGAATACGCTTTTTCTGCCCCCCCTCCTTCCTCCCCCC